AGCGCCAGGGCCACAACAGCCCCGGGGGTCTCTTCTCCCAGGTGGCGAGGGGTAAAAAAGGAGGAAATGGCCTCAAGTTGCGCCAGGGGAGGTTTTGGTGGGATATTAGGAAAAAACGTCTTCGGTGAAGGGGTTGTCGGGCACTGGAACAGGATGCCCAGGGAAGCGGTGGAGTCACCATCCCTGGAGGCGTTTAAGAGGTGTGTAGGTACAGTACTGAGGGGCAGGGTTTACTGGTGGAGTTGGCAGTGCTGGGTTAATGGTTGGACTTGATCTGAAAGGTCTTTCCAACCGAGCAGGTTCTAAGTGGTTCCAAGTGAGTGGTTCCAAGGCAGGGCAGGCTCCTTGGGTGGCACAAACAGGCACTCAGCCGCGGGCTGGAGGGCTGCTGGGACAGGCCAGCTGTGATGCTGCTGCACCAGCACCATCTTTTCCTTACCCAAAACACCTGCTGAAGTGAAGCTTAACACGAGCCACAACTCCACAAGAAGGAATTCAGCCAACCTCTGGAGCAAGAGCCCAGCTGAAGGTGCATTCCTGGAGCACACTGGTCAGAGCAGGCAGTGCCCTAGGTGCAGACATAAAGCCACACACACCCCAGAGTGAAGACCAGGAACCACAGAGGCTGTACCAGCAAACAAGATTTATAACAGAACACTCTTGTATACATCAGTTTTTATAAGGGACACTGTTAGATGTTTGCTTTTTACCAAAAGTCTGTTTGTTCCCCCCAGATTTTTTCCTGGGAACCGGTTTCAGTCTCTTTGGTTTGGTGCTCTTCTTTAACGGCGTCGCCTTCTCACCAACAAAGGAATCACTAGAGCACCTCTTGTTCTTCAGCCTTGTACCAGCTCTGTCCTTAGGAGCAGGAGATGGATTGGAACTTTTCTGGGGCACTTTCCACTTCTCCCCACAGCGCTTCACTCGAATCTTCCTTCCCAGCAGAACAGTCTCGTTGAGCTTCAGAGCAAGATGCACAGCGTCCGTGTTCTGCAAGAACAGACCTTCAGTTTGAAAGCAGTTTTACTTCCAACCAACTGCTTGCAAATAGTTACCTGTCTTTAAGTTTCCCAAGCAAGATTTGACTACAGAGCACATTCAAACTGCTCTGTTTATGGAATAACATCTCTCTGCTGTGCTCAGAACTACCAGGATACCAGTGCAGACCACACAATGAGGCACAGATACTTGGAACCAGGCTCTAAAACAGCTTACATGATAGGTGAGTGGCAGAGGCAAAGAGATGAAGAAAATCTGGGGAAAAAAGGTATTTGGCTGCAGGAAATAAGGAAGATGAGGAAGACTGCTGTGAAAAAGCAAGATGTATTGAATCCAAAGTGGAGAGCTAGGAAGCAAACAGCTGCAGGAAAGAATTCCACTGGTATTTTGACACATAAGAAATGGGAGAACGTTGCAGTTACACCAAATGAACCCATCTGTCCCTCCTTTAAGTCTTTTCCCTTAAAGTTAGTTTCCTGTACCCCAGCATTTTACAGATTTTCTTTGTGAACAACCTGAAACAGTTTGCTTTGTATCTGCTTCCACAGGACCAGTTTTCCAAGCTGCATCACACACGTACAACCATGCTACCGTTTAATACCATATACCAATAAAAACAATAAATAACAACAAAAAAATTAAATTCATTCAAATACTCCAAAATCAAATACCAGTGCAGATGCTGGAACCCCCACCCACTCACACACCTCAAAGAGGACGTAGCCAAAGCCCCTGCCCAGGCCGGTCTCCCGGTCCCTCACGACGCGCACGGCCACCACGTCTCCACAGACCGAGAAGTGCTCCCGCACGGCGTCGTCACTGATGTCTGCAGGCAAGCACAGCAACACGGGTCTCCTCAGCCAGACATGCAGCTTTAGAGGCCTGGCCCAACCCCAAAGATGTTGTACTTACCAATTCAGGTAGACACACATACAGGTATGACATACATGTCAGACCTATGGGCATACATGAAGGTACACACAGAGCAGGGGTTCAGAAAATTCCTGACTATGCAGACTTTATGAAGGGCAATTTACTTTGACAGTTACTGACTCCCTAGCTTTGAAGAGTACAGAATCACAAACTAGAAGGAAGGCAAAGACCAAAAAGCATTTTTCAAGTAATTTAATTTATTGTTTGGACATTATGTTCTGTGCTACGTTTTTGTCAGTCCTCATACCATCATCTCCTTCTAAGAATTAATGCTGATGATAATGAGCTTGATCTGGCAGTTCTTGAAGCCAAACTCTCTTTGACTGAGCCATGAATTTTAGCTGAATGGGGGAGAAGGGATTTACAGTTCCCAAAAAGAGTTGCTACACAATTATTCTGTAAAGGACAGATGTCTGAGGCTTTCTCAGTCTCACGCCTATGCAAACACACAAGTGCAATGCACCAATGCACAAACATACAGGTTATTCTCTTTCCTGGAGAGCTATGCCTCATACTATGGATAACTCCTTTACACAGATACAACTGTATCTCTGCTAAGGGGAAGGGCTGAATTCAAGAGTACACATTTAATAACAGCAATGGGACTTAGATGTGCTGAGAAAGGTTCAAGCTGCTGAACTCATCTTCAGAGCACTGCAAATGTCTGAACTGTTTTTTCTGCAGGATGCAGAGGAACATACAGCACTGGCACAAGCTTGACACCACAACCAGATATGCCACCTAGCCAGGTTTTCAGACAGTCAAGTTTTAGGCTGAAGCCTAAAGCCTGTTTGTTCCCAGATTACTGTCAGCAGCATCTGATGCTGGCTCCATGTCAGGCCACAGGCACAAAGCACACATCATCTTGTATTTTTCTGCACCTGCACCACCCCCAGTTAAGCACCCTGACTCCGTTAATACCCTCATATGGACCACACCTGCTGGCAATCCCTCCATCTACTCTCCAGTCTACTCAGAAGCAGCTGAGTATTCATCAGGTACTGACAGGAGTTACACAGTAAGCACCTCCACACGGGTAAGGGCCGATTACCAACAGCTGTCTGGACAGAGTCACTCAACCCTGTGCCTCACAGACAGCATCGAAGTGTGAAGCCATCGCTGCATATCACTGTTCACAAACAGGTCCCAGTACACCTTTCACTGTTCAGAAAGCCATGGCCTATGCAGTTTAGTTGTATTTCTTTTTTAAAAAAAATCAGGAGACAGTAAGAACTAAAGGTGCTTGCAGTTCTAGCTACAATAAATAAAACAACCTGTTGAATCTGCTAGAAACTTAAGACTCCTTTAGGTGTTTCAGTTAAAAAATAAAATTGCTATTTAAAAAATAAATTCCAGTAACACATACTTAGCTAACTAAACTAGTTCAACCTATTCCATAGATGTTAAGTATTAATGCATAACAATCCATTTTAGACTTACCATATGAGAGATTTCCCAAGAATACAGATCGTTTATTGTCATGCTACAAAAACCAAGAGATACAAGACAGTAAATTATTTGTTACAGAGAAAAAAGAAAACAAACACACAAAAAAAACCCATAACAGAACAGGGGTTTTCTAGTAACACGTTACTTACTGAACTGTTTTTTGATGCAATGTCAACTCTGATGTGAAATCCACTGGCGATTTCTGTTCCATTTCTTTTGTAGCCAAAAGCAAAAAAAATCAAGCATAATGTACTTTACAAGTCTCTGAACAGCATTATTGCAAAAGCAAATCTACTTTAGTTTGAAAACACATTTTATTCTGATTCGAGCTAAAGAGAAGAGGTAGTTAAATGTTTGTAATTTACCTCTTCAACTAGGAGTTAGGAACAAAAACTGATACTTACTCATTTAGAGCCTTAATGGCGTCACTTTCTTCCTTAAACACAACATATGCATTAACAAACTTCGCATTAGGGTGCACCTTGTGCCTGGAACATGAAAGAGACATATGTTTAAGTACTTCTGATGGTGTGCAGTGCACAAGCCCTTCTTGCTAAACACATTTATGCCTTCTCTTGTTTTGTGCACAGTAACAACTTTACTTCTCTTAAAGGTCAAGCGAGCCCCTTACGTCCAAGGGAGTCTCACTGTTCATCTTACACAGCCTGTATGTGCACCCTGATCAAGCTCCCTCAGCTTATAAACATATCCAAAGGAATTAAAGACTATTTAGCATCTTCCCCCTTCCTAAAAATAAGAAATGCAATCTTAAGATAAAAATTACTAGTATTCCAGGCACATAATTCTTTTTCACTTGTCAAGAAAACTTATAAAAACAAAAACGTAATTATAACAGTTGAAACACAAAAGAAAAAAATATATATATAGCCAAACATGTGACAACCAACACTTAAAAGCTATTTTTGCCTTGAAAATTAAAGCACAAAATTCACAAGAGGAACCTACTTTATTGCTGCTAACTTTTTGGATACAGTATCCTCTGCTGGAACCTTTAAGATAAAAAGACCTTTGGTTAAGTGGGCCTAGTGCCCATTTATCTCAAATATTTGTTCTTGAAGACAAAGAGGAATTCAAACACAGGTACCATTCCCACCCAAAGCCAGTAGCCAGTACAGTGAGCAAGTGACAAAAGTGACTATTCCTAGAGGCGATCTAGAAAGACCTCAGAATTACACAGCTTGCCTTTCCTGAGTTCCAAGACTGTTATATTAAACTACTTTAGAAAGTACACTGATTTCCAATCCATGTCTCTTTGCTACTATGATTTTAAACAGAAGTGATACTTCAGGGTAAATGAGCAATAATAAAGGCATTTTTCTTTCAGAGAAAATACAGCTTCAGTAAAATCAACTGCTGCTACAGAAACAGTAAAATGTGATGAAAAATGCATCTTTGGTAAAATCTCCAATGCTTCTTCTAATGCCTAAAAATACACACCCCAAGCCCATTTCTGAACTAATGAAGATAAATTGTTATGAAAAGCCCTTTTAACATGAAAACACATTTTTGTTACATAACATGAAGAGAAAATAACCTACCAAAGACCGGAATCGAATGGATTTTATTTGTCCGTACTCTTTAAAGAGAGACTTCAGTTCCTAAACAGAAGATATTACCAATATTCAATACATTTTTGCATCCTGGTAATAAGAATTATTGTTAAATATTTATTAGTATTTACGCTATTTTCATTTTACTTATACAAGGCCCACTGAAGGGCTGCAAAAAACAGACAAGTAGTTTGTAACTGTTTCTGGTTTTTGTGGCAGATTCTTATTCTACAGATTGCCAAAACTGAATTCATACCCTTTACTATTGAAGCAAAGAGAAATTTTATGGAACAATCTAAGGTATTACTTGCATTCAAGATTAGAGGCAGTCTAACTTACTAATTATAGTTCTCGATTATTAGGTTGTTTTCCATTACAGAAAAGAAACTAACCAATTCTACCAATGAAAGAGCAACTGTTAGGCAAAAAGCCTAACTCCAGTAAAACTAAAGAGACTGCCTCTAATGGTTTCTGATAATGAGCACTATTTCCTACTTTTAAAAAAATCAACTCTAGTCGCAAATACGTGTGATGTCTTGGCTGGAAACATCCCCTCAAACTAAGGACTGCTCTAACTCTTCTTATTTCTTTAGCTGACAGAAGCCACTCACATACCTGAACAGTGCAGCTGACAGGCAGGTTTCCAACAAACACTGTTCTTCTGTTTACTGCTTCATCAAACACCTTTTTCTCCTTTCGTTGTTTTACAGTTGTGCCTGTATCTGAGTTAACAGCACTTTTGGGGACGGCCTGAGAACCTCTTTTTTTCTTCTTCACTTTGTTTTGAGACACTTTTTGCTCCTCTTCTTCATCTGCCTGCTCCAAAGCGCTCTCTCTTATAAGAAAAAGACAAGCAAATTGTAACTGATGGGAAAATAAACCCCAAGTTTTTGGGGTCAAGGAACTAAAGCCTCCAAAGTAAGTATTTTAATTTGCATTTTACATTATTATGTTCAACATAAAATGTTGGATATTATTTTGCTTACTATGCATGCTAATGCTTATTATGCCCACGGAAGCAAACAAACAAGTCTGACCACTCCATAACATGGAAAACTATTTGCTGTCCCCAGGAGACTGCATTCACTATTTAGTAAGTGCAATAAAGAAAGAATTAAGGATTAAATCAGTTTATATCCCCTAAAATTGAATAAATAAATAAATAAATAATCCTTGTACATTAGAACTAAGGATAAATTTAATTCTTCCCAATATCCATGTCACTCAGAACCAAAAATCCTTTGGGATGCACCTGTACACAAACAAATTTCTATCTATCCAAACCACCTTAAAAGCACAAACAATATATAGGCCTGAGGAAGCCTCTGAAAGGCCAATTACACTGTAACAGTGAACAAGTTTCAAGGGTGTAGAAGATGCAACAATTACACAGTGCCAGAGAGAGGACAAGATGTCAGCCTCCAGCTAAAACTGAGCAGACTCCACTACCCAAACCCCACCGGCTGTACAGAGAGCAGCTTCCTGCCTGCACTGACAGCACCTGGCTCAACCCTGAGCAGTCAGAGGAAGGCAGGTGTAACAGGAGCTCTGTGCCACAGCGGAGGACAGGAGTGACAAGGACCGCTAACTCTGCTTGGCACTTTGCTGCTGGAGTCGCCTCTGCTGCCCTGCCTGCAGGGCTGCTGGATCAAGCCACCTGCAGCTGGAAAGCAGCTCCTGTCCCAGTCCACAGCTTCCAGACCCATCAGCTGTCAGGGGATGTGCACTTCACAGACCTAGAACCGCTCCTTTGATTTTACTATCACTCTAGATGTTTTTTTTTTTAGTCTTACTATAAAAAAGTATCAAGCACTCACCTGTTTGCCAGTTTCTTCTCTGCTTTTGAAAACTCCTTCTTTCTGGCTTTCTTCGCTTTTACAGGAGGTTCTTGTGCAACAGGGGAGCTCGGATCTTCCGACACTTTCTCCACTTCTGCACGCTTCCTTTTCTTATTCTCCTTTAAAAGACAAAACAAAACAAAACCGGTCCTATCGTTGTTTTACACACGGTAACTTCTGTGGGGCGCCACTGACTGAGGCCACCGGCCCGCTCCCCGGGGGCACCTCCCTCCCTGGACAGGCG